GCAAATTATTTCATAATATAATATTAAAAACATTATTATTAAACATTAAAATAAATTAATATAATAAATTAATTGATATCATAATAATATTAAATATGTATTGTATATTATACATCTATTATACCATTACACTCGAAAAATACATTTACTTTTTTGCTCTCAGAAATAATATTATAATCATAACTGTAGAGATTAATTTAAGTTTTCGAATAGGTATTCAGAGCATCGTGGTATTGAGCGAAATTATTCGTACATGTAAAAGAGTAAAACATATTTTTTTTAAAACATAACTCAACCCGTAATTCGATAAAATATGAGAACAAAATCCTCAGTAAATAAATCGTGTCTAGCACAATATTATAATAATAATTCTACAAAAAATATAAAATATTATCTACACATAAAACTCTAACTTTTGCAATATTCTAAAGTCTAAAATAATCTCTATGTCCTATGACTTATAGTTTATTTGTGAGAGAAATATTCACCTCCTAAACAAGCGAGTTTTTAAACTTAACCAAACTTGTGGAAATTGAACATGACTGTTACTATTTGACTGTGTGTTCCATCGTTTACCATGAGGAGGACTATCACTGATGAACCTCCACACAACAAATGCATAAAAAGTATAAATACATTTATCAGCATTCAGCATATGTTAACGTAAAAAGTTATCGTAAACACCATTTTTAGTAAAACAAAAAAATAAACATATAAATATTTATTTTTAATTTATAATCTCTTTCAACATACTATTGTATATACTATAATGCATACTAAAAAACTAAAGCGGTAAATAGCATATTATGATTTATGATATAATTTCAACTAAACTATGTTATTCGATACTTTTATGACTAATATTTAAAATCAATGTCCCATAAAATGTTTTTAGTTGTGATAGATATCATTAACAATGAACCTACAACTATAGAACGCATAGTTAAAATAATAATCTGAATACCGCAAAATAAAATAAAAGAGTAGCCTGATTAATTGAAATTAAGTAGTCGATGACCAACTTTAATTGAATACCTTGAAGATAACTCAAAGGTACAGGGAATTTGTTATTACGAAAAAAGTATTTAATTCTTTGTACTTATATAATATTATGTTGAATAATAATTTTTATTAAAATTAAAATTATGATAAATAATGTTAATTTGTTGCAATTAAATTAAATTAAAAAACTTCAGTAAAAATGCTCCCTTATATAAAATAATATTTGTGTTTCATGATTTATTATGAGGTACCTACCTATAGAGTACCAATTAAATCGATTAAAATCCATTTTTTTTTTTAAATATGAAAAATGAACTACTTACGGAAAATGTTATACAAGTCAACATAATTAGTTTAATAATTATAAATATTAAGAAGTAAATTATTTAACCTGATAATAATATTTCTGTTGTACGATTATAAATTAAGCATTTAAATATTTAAAACATGTTTAACTAATTTTAGAGCTTACAGTAAATTGTATAAAAGTATCCAAATTTAAAATATTAGTAGATTTCATCAACTTAATTAAAAATAATTTCGTTTGAAATATTTAGTGTTTATAGTTTATAGACAATTAATGAATACCTACATTTAAATTGTATGATACATAATATCAATTAATAAATAAATACAAATGTAACGAATTGATAATATATTACGATAAAAAATGTTGCTTCGTTAATCAGTTCGTAAAATATATTATGTATATATTTTAAAATCTATGGTCAATTCAATGAGAAACACTATGTAATACATTTTGTTAAATTGTATAAATAAAACTTTTTTATTCATTAACTTAATTTTTACAGTATAATCTTTTGTAGTCTTTTTAACTTGATTAAAATTATTACAATTCCAATATAAACCGAGATACAAATTACACAAAAGTAATATATACCTGGGTAAGATCTAGGATAATTTTGTACCAGGTAAGTGATAACTAATACAGGGTTTTACTATTTCAGTATTATGTCCTAAGTTCAAATGAACAACATCAAACTACCTTTCTAAGTATCATCAAAGTTTTATAATATATACTTCTATATCTTTATGCTTTCCTTGGAATTAGCCATGTTGTCCACGATATATTTATGATATAAAATACATTTTCGATGGACATAATATTATAGGTCACTGAAATTCCTAGCTGATGGAGTACCTATGTAGCATGTTTTTTTTGTTTAAAAACATATTTTTTGTTCGCCCAGAAATTTAATATAGAAAAAAGTTGTAATATTCCCACCACACCTATAAACATATTTTACAGTTTTGCACAAAAAAAAGTTTTTACAAATAATATTCATTTTTTCTGAAGTATTTTAATTTCATTAATAATTAATATTGAAATTGATATAGTACGCAATATATGCATGACAGTTTTTAAAACAATAAGTAAGGATTAATAATTAATAATTAATAATTAAAACTTTTACAATACATGGTTGAATGAGATATTAAATATATGTATTCGTGTACTATTATTATATCTGTAATATTGGCTAGTATCTTGACAAAAAATAAATTATCTGTGCCAAATTTATTATTAATAGTTGCCATAAGCTAAAATATAACTGAACTACTGAACATTATTGATGAAACTCAATACAAAGTTTTACTTAAATGTTATTTATGTTTAAAGATATGTATGTGTTTACATTGACTTTTTATTAAACCATCCCCACATTATATTGTTATCAACAATTGTTTTATCTTTTGATCCATAATGCAAGCACTAAGTTTAGATAACTAATTATTGGGAAAAACATTATATCGAAAAAAAATTTATATTATTATTAATTATATTTAAATTATTATAACTTGGAAAAAAACAGTAACTGAATTGTTGTAGATTACCTGCAAATTATAAGGATATTTCCCAAAATATTTCCCAATAAATTCAAAAGTAGTCCAACTATGAAAAAAATGAAATTGGAACTTTGTCCGGGCATAACGATGTGTCTGTATTTAAGGCTTGAAGGTCTAAAATGAATGAAATTAAAATTTAATAGATTAATTTATATTATATTATTATACATGAATTATAAATATCACTGAAAGGTCCAAAATAATGTATTAATTGTGTAGTTGTTAGAAAAATTGCAAATATTTTAACTATCTCCTTGAGTTGTTTTGAGCGGACCAATATTGTTTGTATCGAGTTTGAAAGAGATAGATTATCATAATAAAATATAAAGAATAAATTAAAAAAAATTCTCTAGACATTAAAAACCTACATTTCTGGAATTATATAGATTAAAATAATTTAATAGCGTATAGCTATAGTAATAAATACAATTTTAAACTATTGCAGGTAAACGTTTTGTGTGTTGTATCAAACATAAAATATATTATGATATTAAATTTCAGTCAAAATGTTAATGTTTCAGAACATATAATAATACACGATTTCCATATTATTATATTTGTTGACCCGGCGATCCTTAAGATCAGATATCGCCTGGTACGAGGTCCTCGGGATTGTTGTAGAGTAAGGCAATTTATAAGATTCAAAAATAACACGAGATTTCTAACTATCAGGAGCATGTATTGTTAGGTATACCACATGAACAGTAGGTAGGTAATTCAATTATACAATAATACAATATTAAGTCAGGGGGGAAACGGGGATCACCGACTGAGCTGCCTCCCTGGCCGATGTCTTGAGCTGGTGAACTGTAGGTGTGGAGCTGCTGTATCTGGAACACGGGTGCGAGCATGTGCACCGTCGTGTCGTGGAGCGAAGAGCGTTCAACCGCGCACGTGGACGCGAAGTATGGTAGAGTAGGTAAAGCTACTCGGAGCTGATTGTCACGAACTTGACGAGAGCAGACTGGACGACGACAGTCAATAAAAGAGCGATACGAGTTAATTGGCCGAACAACCGCGATGTTTAACACTAAACAATAAACACGTTTTCCGTAACTATCCCAAACGGGAAAAGATGGCTGACGGACGAGCGAGCAGAACAAAAGGTGTAGACGGAGCGGTCGGGTACTCGTTGCAACTGAAAAGCGGAGAGTAAACGCCATTTTAACACCAATCGAACTGGTTACAGCAAAGCGAGCGAACTTGTATCTGCCACGGAACAATGGCGGACGCCCATGGACGGGCCGTTGAGCATAGCGACCAAACGTGGTTTTGAGCATAAACGGTACGGACGAGCTAGACGCATACACATACGACGACCGCGAGACGCGGACGTCCGAGCTCGAATACCGAGAGCCGGTAACGGTCTACCAGTGTTGCCAAAATTGCGGCTGCCGGCGCGCAGCGCCCATGAACATGGTTACTGCGGCGGTCGGTCGAGCGTGACCACCGACGGCGGCAATTCTGTTATCAAACGGAGCGAACATACTCCCCCTTGCAAGTTCCAGCTAACTTGGAATAAGAAGTTCGATCTGTTCTGAATGATGTTGGAGCTGGGAGCCTTGAACGGAGCAGCTGAGCAGTTGAACGGAGCGGTTGAGCAGTTGAACGGAGCGGTTGAGCAGTTGAACGGAGCGGTTGAGCATTTGAACGGAGCAGTTGAGCAGTTGAACGGAGCGGTTGAGCAGTTGAACAGTTGAGCAGCCCAGAGCGATGATCGGGTTTTCTTTACAAGGGGACAACATTTTTAACATTATTTTTTGCAAAGAAATATAACAAATCTACGGTATTAACCGAGCTAAAATAACAATGTTTAACAACATAACATACAAAATTAATTATCCAAAATTTAGTTACATTATTTTCTTTTTATCATCATAAAAACATATCAATATAGTAACAACATAATATCTGAAAATAAACAAAAGTAAAAAAACAATAAACATTGCCATACCCCACTGGATCCAGAGGTGGAGCAACCGGCCCAACATCCAGAAGCAGGCGTGATGGCTGGTAAAACCAAATAATTACAGTTTATAACACATAATGATCTCAGCCATAGCGGATGAGTATAAGGGTGCAAAGGAAACTGGTGGACGGAATTACATCTAATTAGTACCTATCGTGTCCTACAAATCTGTAGGTAACGGTACTAACTTCACAACTGGTCTAGTGAACACTCCCTGGTTGGTCCTAACCTTTGCCACCCGCACTATCTTATCTGTGCCCGGATACACCTCGATCACTCTACCTAAAGGCCACGTTAGAGGGGAGGTGTCGCTAATTTTTACTACCACCATATTACCAACTTCGACGTTGTTGCTATCTTTGGTCCACTTTCCACGAACTTGGAGAGTATTTAGATATTCCTGGGACCAACGTCGCCAAAAGAACTGGAAAGACTGCTGGAGGAGCTTCCAGCGAGTCTGCAGTCCTGTTTGCGTACTGGTAGTCACAGGTTCCGGAATCGATATCAGAGGACGACCAATCAAAAAATGACCGGGTGTTAAGCATTCCAGGTCATTCGGATCAGATGATGCTGGTACTAGAGGGCGCGAATTCAAAGCAGCCTCTACTCGACATAACACCGTGGTAAACTCTTCTAACGTCCAAACTTGGGAGTTCATGGCACGAAGAAGCAATGCCTTAGCCGACTTCACTGCAGCTTCCCAAATTCCTCCAAAATGGGGAGCACCAGGAGGGTTGAAATGCCACACGCAGGCAATATGACCAGATAATTGATCTCTATTATCCGGATGATTTACTAATTGTCGCAGCTGCCTCGCTGCACCGACAAAATTGGTGCCACAGTCTGAGTAGATCGACGTCGGTAGACCACGACGAGCCACGAATCTATCTAACGTTAATCGAAAAACCTCGGTCGACAGGGCAGAAACTGGTTCCAAGTGCACCGCTTTGGTGGACATACAAACGAATACCGCAATGTATACCTTCACGATACGAGCTTTTCGCAGGCTGAGTTCCCTCATTTGCAAGGAACCTGCATAGTCTATACCAACTACAGAGAACGGATGAGCTTCCTGAACGCGAAACCTAGGCAGATCAGCCATCATAGGTTGAGGGTTGATGGGCTTGATCCTTGCGCATATCCGAATTGAGCAGTTCTTCACACAATCCGTCTTCGGTGAACTGAGGCGGAGCAGCTTCAGGTTCCTCCGCCTTCCAAAACCTTTCTATGATGGATTCCATGGACGATACTAGCGACACCAACATAGATTGTGCACCAATATCTGGGTGCTCCTGAACAGGACCAATTAGCACCCAACCAAATACTGAGCTGTAAACGGAAGGGAAACCTGGACCCAGCGAGCTGCACTTGTTCTTCCATACTTGGGGAAATATATCCGCGCCAATGAGCATCTCCACTGGAGCTGGCTCATCGAAGCTTGGGTCGGCCAACATCAGATGGCTGCATTTGGCTCGTACCTGAACTGGCAGTTGTCGAGCTGGCATATCTGACGTGATGGTAGAGAGTACCCAAGGCTTGACCTGGATCGCTGGCGTTGGCTTATCCCTTGGCTGGATCGTCAGCTGAACAATACCCTGTACATCCGGAACCTTCTGGCCGGAAAGACCAGTCACAGGTACTGTCCATCGCGAGGGCTGTAATCCCAAGCGGTTACAGCAAGCCGATGTGATTGCACTGATCTGCGATGCCGAATCGATCAGTGCGCGCACGGTCTGGCAACTGCCAATTGTATCTCGTACATGTACTAAAGCGGTCCCGAGCAAGACCGTTGGAGCTTGTTGGCGGCCTAACATGGCAGCCGGAGGAGCGGGTTTCGACGGTTCCTGATCTCGATGTAGTAGCGCATGATGGCGCCTCTTGCATATGGAGCACGAAGAGGAACACTTAAACGACATGTGCCCGTGAATCAAACAGACCATGCAAGGCGATGCGTGCACACCACCTTGTAGCGTTCATCGACCGAGCAAGCCTTAAATTTCGCGCAATCAGCTAGTTGGTGAGCACCGGAACAAACGTAACATGACGCCGAAGTAGGTTTGGTCGAGGAATGCTTCGAAGTCGAAGGTTTGGGCGTCTATACTAATATGCGGTCTTCGATTCCCGACGGAAACCAGTTTTCTTGATATTGGCCGACTTCGAGGAGGAGCTTCCTGCCGGTTGTACACCTGCATTTTCAAGAACCTGGATTCTCGTTTTAACGAACTTGATCACGCTCTGTATCGACGGATATTCTTCATTGTTTTCAGCCTCGAAAAGACGTCTCGAGAATGTAGGTAGACACCTAGCAGCCAATGAAAATAACAGAAACGACGCTAGATCCGGGATCTGGAGCGACTCCAGGATCGTGATGTTTTCGTCGAAAACCGACATAAAGGTTTGCAGAACTGCAAGATTTTCAGAATTCGAGGCGGGAGCGGATATTAACTTATCGATTATTGACGATGCTAACCTGCGCGGTTTATCGTAGCGTTCGATCAATGCGTCCCAGGCAAGAGTAAAAGACTCATTTGAAATCGAAAATCCCTTGATGACTTCTTGCGGATCAGCATGCAGACACCCCACCAGGTAATAGAACTTGGTAACATTCGGGATCTTATCGTTATTAGCCACCAAATTGACGAACATGTCCCTAAAGGCTGGCCAGTTGTGGCATTCACCATCAAAAGTAGGCAGAGGGATTTCAGGCAACCTCATAGGTGCAATCTTGGGAGCAATCCTTGGACGACCCCCCAGCAGAAGAACTTGCTTGGTCAACTATACCCTCATACGATACTTGTTGAACCGTACCGACATTAAAAGCTGGAGTTGGTTGAGATGCCTTGTACAAGGCCTTAGCTTCTACCACCAAAGCGCGGGTCTCGGTTTCTAAGTTCACAGAAAACTCCCCCAACAAATCCGATTCGGTAAGTATGTCTAGAAGATTATTGTTCTCAATAACAAAGCTGGCCCACAAGCTATCAATATCGACAATAGCCACAGCTAGTTGAGACCTACTAGCTTCATCAGTGGCTGAGCTTGTGGCCAATAAGTGTATCTGGCGAATTCGAGCGATGACTTGATCCCTACGCAGGATAGCACGCTCCTTCGCACGAGCATCACGTTCCCCAGCCATTATATTGACTGCACCAAGAAGTAACAAAGCCAGAGACTAACAATATTGAACAAGAGCGAGAACAAATTGCTAGTTGAAGTCAATATCACTTCAAGGATATGATCAAAAAGTAAGCACAAACAAAAGATTACTAATACTGGTATCACACAGTACAAACGTTGATCAACGATGCCGAAAAATCAATGAACAAATAAATGACTACCGAATGAGCACTATAAAAAGGCCATGAACGAGTCAATTAATAAATATAAACAAGCGTTGCCTATGATGTAGGCAATAACTAAGCAAGCGGCAAAATAATCAGTAGCCGACAAACAATATCATAACTATTAACAGTTAAAACTAGTCTAAACAACAGGAGAGCACCTAATTAAATTAAACTTGAATAGAACTCAGGTGTATCCAGGCGACGCAATACTAAATATAATATTAAAATTAATTATACTAACTATGAACAAGTTGGACAACCAAATCTGCACTATAAAACCCTCAATTGAGCAACCTAGAGTGGATAATATAAAACAAATAATCAAATAATAATATATTGTGTGATAGTACAATACCTGATCCTTGGCACGACCCACGACGCACACCTACATCTTAAACTATGTAATAATGCAATTTAGAGCTACTGCACTAAGGGTGAGTGATAAGCCCTGTTAAAACTCAGATGTCAATAGCATGACAACAAAATATTAATAATAATCCACCCAATTAAATAGTATAACCAATGAGGTAGGTGCTAACTAGACCAGCAACTAGTGAACAACCTATACTAGTTAATACCCATACATAATACAATAAATAAAACAATAAATAATTTAACCCAGAGAGCACCGTCTAATAAATATGTAATATTTAAAGTAAATTCAAATTGAATAACGTTACTACAGTAGTAAACGCTTGAGCACGAATACAGTAAATAAAACTCAACACTAAATAATAAATCTGACTTATATTAATAGCAATAAATAAAACAATTAATTAATGACTGGACAGTCGGTTGAGTTAATTACTGTCTTCTTACTGAACAGTACCTACTATCGATAGGAGTGAGGAAAAGGATAAATAAATGTACACACCTTATACTCATAAGCCAAAACTAAAAACAAAATGCATTACTCACGCGAATCCAGAGTACCAGATGTTGATGGACCAACCAACCACGCTCTGCTACCAAAATGTTGACCCGGCGATCCTTAAGATCAGATATCGCCTGGTACGAGGTCCTCGGGATTGTTGTAGAGTAAGGCAATTTATAAGATTCAAAAATAACACGAGATTTCTAACTATCAGGAGCATGTATTGTTAGGTATACCACATGAACAGTAGGTAGGTAATTCAATTATACAATAATACAATATTAAGTCAGGGGGGAAACGGGGATCACCGACTGAGCTGCCTCCCTGGCCGATGTCTTGAGCTGGTGAACTGTAGGTGTGGAGCTGCTGTATCTGGAACACGGGTGCGAGCATGTGCACCGTCGTGTCGTGGAGCGAAGAGCGTTCAACCGCGCACGTGGACGCGAAGTATGGTAGAGTAGGTAAAGCTACTCGGAGCTGATTGTCACGAACTTGACGAGAGCAGACTGGACGACGACAGTCAATAAAAGAGCGATACGAGTTAATTGGCCGAACAACCGCGATGTTTAACACTAAACAATAAACACGTTTTCCGTAACTATCCCAAACGGGAAAAGATGGCTGACGGACGAGCGAGCAGAACAAAAGGTGTAGACGGAGCGGTCGGGTACTCGTTGCAACTGAAAAGCGGAGAGTAAACGCCATTTTAACACCAATCGAACTGGTTACAGCAAAGCGAGCGAACTTGTATCTGCCACGGAACAATGGCGGACGCCCATGGACGGGCCGTTGAGCATAGCGACCAAACGTGGTTTTGAGCATAAACGGTACGGACGAGCTAGACGCATACACATACGACGACCGCGAGACGCGGACGTCCGAGCTCGAATACCGAGAGCCGGTAACGGTCTACCAGTGTTGCCAAAATTGCGGCTGCCGGCGCGCAGCGCCCATGAACATGGTTACTGCGGCGGTCCGTCGAGCGTGACCACGATTTAAGATAGTATGGTTGCCCGACGACCTATGATAAGATCGTTTTAAACTGGAAACCAAATTAAATAACCAGAACAGCTGGAAAATTGACCACTAGCGCTTGCGACATGATGTGTGCCAATATAGAAGCAGAATTTACGAGCTTATTATTTTTTCCCGCGCTTTACTAATATCAAATATGTACCTATTACCACAGTAATACAGAATAAATCTATTATGTGATATTATTCTCAATTCTCATAGATCCCTATAAAAACCACGATTTAAATAATGATAAATATTCCACTATACAATTATAATAACTATCTATTATCTTAGTAAATAGATTTATCGTCCATGATAAATACAAATTTACATCTTGACAAGATATAACAAAAATGTTATTATTCATAAAGTTTTAATATATTATGCTTAATTTTGTTGAAATTATTTAATTGTTTGTCGTGTTGTAATGTCGTGTTGTATACCTAATTGTCCTTCACATGACAAATATGCAAAGATTAGTTCCTTCAAAGTTCCATTGAATATTGTCTTACGGTCTGAATGGGAAAATGTCTTGGGTATTCCTTTAAGTAATAATTCTCGTGTTTGTCGTAACCATTTTAAGACACATGATGTAATAGACACATGGGAATCTGGAAATGGAATAAATAAATACACGGTTAGTACCATTACTTATAAATATATGTATAGTATATTTATGAACTGATACAACTATAGGTAAAAATATAACAGCAATATAATATATTTGTAGGTGTGTCTAAAAAGACCTAGACTTAGAGATGGAGCTATTCCAGTGAATTTATATATTGTTAACAATAATGAGTCGAATATTTTGGTAAGAATTTATAACTAAATAACGTTATGATAAGTTAAATAATAATATAACAACATAAACTCTAAGCATTTTTGTACCTAGTACCTAAACCTAACTAATTTATACAATATTTTATTTAAGAATGAAAAAATAAATAATATACAAGAATGCCCAAACTCTGAATATACTGTGGATACCAAAGATATAATATAGATATAATAATCTTTCTAAAATGAAGGTTAAATATGCAGCACAGGTAAAATAACCAATTTATAAATTTGTAAAACATGTGAAAGATAATATTAATTATTATTTTCTAATTATTCCATAAAATATTTAGCTGTTTAGCATGTCAATGGCATAGAATTTTATAAAAAAAAAAATTTTAATGGGTTTAGTGATTCTGATGAAACTGTCAAGTTTACAATTTTTATGAATAATCTGTTTGATGCATTAAACAGGAAATTTAGTGCAGAAGGAATAAAAAAAAACTCCCACGACATAGAGGTTTTTTGTGTTATGTACTCATGTGTTTGTGTTATGTGTTTGTGATATATGTGTTTAATATTTATTGTATGTGAATAGGTGTAATTAAGGGTTTCATCATAATATGGTTAAAAATCCTACACCATGTTAGATTTTAGATTATATGTTTTAAATATTTTATGAATTAACCTAGGCATGTGTACTTATATTATTTATATGTCAAATAGGTGTTAAAAGAAGCTTTGGCATGGATCAATACTTGGGAATCAAATTTAAATAATAATTTTATAAAAAAGGATGATTTTTTGACACAAGCCACAGCTGATGGTCTCAAAATAACTATTAAGTCAACCATAGATATTGTGGATTATTTATTAAATACTTGTAATTTTATGTATGTTTTGACGGCAAAATTAAACCAAGATCGCCTGGAAGTAAACTTACAAATAACTATACTTACTAACATTTTAAGAAAGAGCATTCTAATAGTTATTGACTTTATTTTGATAGGAGTTTTTTGGTATTATCCGTCAGGTAGCTGGACCAAATGACCATCCATCCACTCCTACATTTCTCCAGCTTTATAGGATGCTGTCTGTATATTCACTTATTAAACCACCTAAAACTGGTAACTGTACAATTTTTGAAGGTAGGTACCAATATGTTTGTATATTCTAACATTATTTTGAATAGGATGTACCTACTTAAAGTAATATTAAATATCTTTTTTAGACAATATTCCAATCATTACAATCACAGATTTAAAAGATGTCATTAATGACCCAACTAATTCTTCAGATAGAATTAATAAGATTGAAAAACTAAAAGAAAAAATTAATTATATTGTAGACAAGGGATGCTGGGATGCTGATGATGTTTTTACTGAGCATAATTATTCAAATTCTACTGTTTTTGATTGTATTGTGTATTATTTAGCCGGGTAAGACATTTTAATATAAGTACCTAGTTATTAGTTAGGTAAGTATTCTCTGAAATAATAAAAATAGATATTAATGTATAAATTGAATCATTTATAGATATATAGCAAAACAGTTAGTGGCACGGACTAAATGTGAATCGTGTAAAATATATTTAAAGAATATGAATACATCTTCAACTGTACCAGCAGCAGAATTAGTGAATGTAAAAAGTAGAGGTTACCTTACACATCCAAACACTAATTTATTTAAATTATTAAAGTCATTGGAGATATCTTTTGAAAAATTTGCTGACTCACCTACAGTTTTTGAAGATACATATGAAGATTTCTTTAGCAAAAATGTCAATATTAATTTTCCATGCATTGAACATCAAACAGATATTATAACAGATATCTGCACATACTATCTGATTATGAGAATGAGGCAATACAGCTATCAACTAAACCAAAACAATAAAAAACAAAATAAAGTTAAAAAAAAACTTTCAAAGTTGGTTAGTACGTGATGGATGGTATTATTAATTTTTTTTTTTTTGTGTTTCATATAATGTAATGGTATAACATTTGTATTTTGTATACAATTTTTTTTGCTGAATAAATTTTAAATAGTTATTTGATTTATTATTTACAAAATACTAAAGCATAGAAAGAGATTAAAGTATTTTAATTTATATTTATCAAAATTGTTATTAATTACTTACATACTTCTAAGTTCTAAGTCATTCGTTATAATTTTAATCGTAAATCACGAAGAAAATTTGAAATACTAAACAGGCAATTAGGCAAACAGCGCGCCAGTGCGCCAGTCGCCAGTCGCCACTCTGCACGGTATTTGAGCTTATAAACTATAGCCGCTGTTACATTCAAGCGCTAGTGGTTAATTTTCCAGCTGTTTTTAATAGTGATTTCAGTAAACACTTTATCATGATTCGTTGGGCAACCATACTATCTTAAATCGTGAGCGTGACCACCGACGGCGGCAATTCTGTTATCAAACGGAGCGAACAATATTCGTTAGTCTTTACGCTTCCCGGTATATTAAAATTATATGCGCATAAGCGAACGTCATAACCTATAAACACACCTATTACATAGAACGTATGCACATTTACATTTATATACGCAATTAAAATGTTATCATATCATAGTAATATTATATAATATTATAATGAACTTTAATGTATGCATATTACCGTAATAATATTATACGGTATATATTATTATGGACAGTGCACTTTAGGGCTTACAAGAACCACGGCCACCGATCAACCCTCCTCCTCCCCCCCCAACAACGAATATTATATACGTGAGAGATATAGAGTGTATGGAGATTATGACCGCGTACGTCGGTCAGTCAGCCGTTTAATGGGATTTTGGCGCGGCTGCTCGGGGATGAACTTAACTCTTCCGCCCTCCGTCGTCACGGCCCCCCTGATTTAACCATCTCCACTCCCTCCCCCCAACCAGCGGAATAACGTGTGCTCCAGCAAGGGGTGGCAGAGCTCTCGGGCCGCGCCGACGATGTCGCCTGCTGCAGTGGGATATACGTCAGCGGTAGCGGCGGTGGACTACCACACGACATTTAATTACCCAGTAACTAGTTTAAAATCTACTGATTAAAATATTATTGCGCACATATTATTATTATAAGCTTTGGCAGTGAGAAGCAGGAGACAGCGCGATTCGTGTGTGTGTTATTATTACTATTACTTTTATTACAATATATACGAATCACTCAACGGTCGATTGGAACGACTGCAGTGGTGCAGGACAGAAGGGCCCGGACACGCTTTAATATTATATATATATACGGCACGGCACACGATAAAAAGGCAATTGGATTTCTAGAAGAGCTCCCTCTGAGAAATTGATATGTCCACGCCGTCGACTTGTGGTCCGGATAAAAAAGCCGTTTCCTCTAGATTCTATCTCGTATATTATTATATTATTTCCCCTTTAAAATACCTTTTTTTCACACGTAACAACCGATTGTTATATAGTATATACTTATTTTTATATATAGGCACAGACGCTCCGTTGACCCCTATAAGAGTTTAAAAAAAACACAAATCGGACCAAACTGATAAGTTAATCAAAACAAAATTATAATAACAATGAATAAAAAAGGTGCTCTGCTGTACAGTAGGTTACAAGTGGGTCACTGTATAATGGGTGGTATTAAATTTGAATTCAATGATATAAAATCATTGTATAATAAAAACGATTCTGAGGTAGTCAGTCTAGGTTTAAGACATATTATATAGATATCTATGGTATTAAAAAAAGTTGATCTATCTAACGCGTAAGATACCCGTTATTTCAAAAAAAAATTATTGTACTTAAAAATATTTTTTACATCATTTAATTATGCAAAATTACATTATTATAATTACTTAACTTTATTAAAAGTAATATTTTTCTTTCAAAAATATATTTTTTACTGTTTCTTATATGTTTTACTTTTATTGAAAACAACATATTATAACAACTCATTCCAAAGCAGAATATTTTTTGGAGCTCTTCAATTTATAAAAACCAAATTTTGGACTATTGGTGTATGGGTTAAGTTTTTAAAGTTTAGATAAA